ATAATAATAATAATAATAATAATAATAATAATAATAATAATAATAATAATAATAATAATAATAATAATAATAATAATAATAAAAAGTTGGAAGGGACCTTGGAGGTCATCTAGTCCAACCCCCTGCTCAGGCAGGAAACCCTACACCATTTCGGACAAATGGCTGTCCAGTCTCTTCTTAAAAACTTCCAGTGTTGGAGAAGGGAGGGAGGGAGGAAGGAAGGAAGGATAACAGAGTTGGAAGGGACCTTGGAGGTCATCTAGTCCATCCCCCTGCTCAGGCAGGAAACCCTACGCCATTTCGGACAAATGGCTGTCCAGTCTCTTCTTAAAAACTTCCAGTGTTGGAGAAGGGAGGGAGGGAGGGAGGAAGGAAGGAAGGAAGGATAACAGAATAACAGAGTTGGAAGGGACCTTGGAGGTCATCTAGTCCAACCCCCTGCTCAGGCAGGAAACCCTATACCATTTCAAACAAATGGCTGTCCGGTCTCTTCTTAAAAACTTCCAGTGTTGGAGGAGGGAGGGACGGAGGGAGGGAGGAAGGAAGGCTAAGAGAATAACAGTTGGAAGGGATCTTGGAGGTCATCTAGCCCAACCCCCTGCTTGGGCAGGAAACCCTATACCATTTCGGACAAATGGCTGTCCAGTCTCTTCTTAAAAACTTCCAGTGTTGGAGCATTCACCGCTTCTGGAGGCAGGCTGTTCCACTGGTTAATTGTTCTCACTGTCAGGAAGTTTCTCCTGAGTTCTAGGTTGCTTTTCTCTTTGATTAGTTTCCACCCGTTGCTTCTCATCCTGCCTTCAGGACTTCACCTCCCAGAATTCCGTCTGGGAGTTGATGTCTACATGTTTTAAACTGACCGAGTTTGAGAAATACTAGAAGAGATTGGAACAGCCATTTCTCCAGAAAGGCTTTGGGCTTGGGCAGAGGGCTGGACTAGATGACCTCCAAGGTCCCTTCCAACTCTATTCTTCTATATTCTGTAATCTAAAGCATCTACTGGAGATCTTATTTGAAGAAGGGTTGCAGAAATTGGGTACGGCTAGTCTAGGGAAAAGATGGGATTAGGAGTGACATGATAGCAGTCTTCCAATCTTTGAGGGGCTGCCACGAAAAAGACGAGGGGGTCAACTTACTCTCCAAAGCACCGGAAGGCCGGACAAGAAGCAACGGATGGAAACTAATCAAGAAGAGAAGCAACCTGGAATTAAGGAGAAATTTCCTGACTGTGAGAACTATCTGAAGTTTGTGGATGCTCCATCACTGGAGGCTTTGAAGAAGAAACTGGAGAGCCATTTGTCTGAAATGGTATAGAGTCTCCTACTTGAACGGGGGGTTGGACTGGATGACCTCCAAGGTCCCTTCTATGTTCTAGGCTGCACAGCTTCC